CTGACAATGCAGTTATGTGGTGACTAAAACATCCAGGAATATCTAGAATTTGCAATGGCACACAATCAGTTACAGTGGCCAGATAATTGGAGGAGGCACTGCAACTCTACTTCACAATGAAGGAAGCAGCAGGCCTCTGATCACGAGTATTCAAAAAAGACAGTAGAAACTACAGAGTGCAACCTCGGAAGAACTTATTTAAAAAGGAAACAACGCAATACACAGATTGTAACTTTGTGACATTGCAAGACATATGAACTGAGAATACGGAAGATGTAAAAGTTTACTTAAATACATCCAAAACCTGGTGAGTTCTGGATTCCAAAATCCATTTGAGTCTGAAAAAGACTGTATGTCTCTAAGATTGGTAACTTGAGTGTGTTTGTGCATGTATTTGCCGTTGGGAAGAGTGAATTGTCAAGAAAAACAATGCATGGTTGTGGTGCTACTCCAGCAGGTGGAAATGATGTTAGGCCAGTAGCAAACATCAGCACATTCTCCAGTGGCACTTCAGTCTGGTGTTCTACAAAGGCAAAAAATAAATGATGGAATTTTGAACAATTACTAAATTGATAATTAAATAATAAACCCCAAAAATGACTTTCTTGAACAGAACACAAATTGTTTGCACTTATCCATACAATGACAGTGGATTTACTACCTTTCAAACTTCAAAAAGAGCTCAGATTTATTATCAGTATATTACATTACAACCTGTATTATATTTTTGGAAGAGACTATTCGTAATTTAATTTATTTTGCCACTTGCATGGAATCATTTGTCCTATTTTAACCTTATAAGCTAGTTACAATCCACTGCCATTGTATGAGAAGAACTCTATTCTGTTTTCAGAAAAAAAGAAAGCAATACATGTTTAGAACAACTTGAGAGTGAATAAACTGCATTTTTGGGTGAACTATTGCTTTAAAGATGACTCAACTTTACCTAAAACAGAACATGTGTTTGTTCAATTCCAAATAACAAACCTTCACAGTCGAGGATATAGTCTGACCAAAAGCAAAGCGTCCTGGATTCCTTTTGCCTCTGGTTACTACCAACTGCGCTGAGTTCTGCTTTGAAGAGGTTTTCCAAAGCAGTCGCCGTCAGCTTCTTCTCAGTGCGGCAAAGGAAAGGAGACAAAACACTGGGATGCTGCTCAAGTGCTGTCAGAAACTGCAGAGTGGCAAGTCCATCCTTAAATCTATTAAAACAGTCAGTTTAAGTAACAGTGTAAAAGACTGATGCAATTTTAGGTATATCTTAAAATAAGCATTTGCCTATGAAGTAATGTGTATGTGATTTTTAAAAAAAAGCACCTTTTAATAACACTGTCGTTTCTGTCAATCACATACCACCTGACATATTCTTCCAAAATTGTATGTTTCTCCTCAATGTTCTTCACACATCGAAAACACCCAGCAGTTTGGAGCAGGCTGCTGTTCTGCAAAATTAGTTCTTGTAGTGACTCCAAAGTAGTTGCATTCTGAATCTTAAAACAAAATTAGCAACAGTGAGTTCATGCCCAAGCTACAATAGTGGCTAAAAGTGATGTCCGGCTAATGTAAATTGATATTTTGACCCTTTATTCACAAAAAAAGATTTTGTTATCATATTGTGTAGTTGTGCTTGGAGTAAATTATTTTATTTGTGATGTCACAAAGAAACATACCAATGCGTGCAGATGTAATTTCTGGCCAGGCTATCATATAAATACATGCAAAAACAAGGTAGAATAAATTAAATATTAATAACTGATTGTTTACGTTACTGTATGCCTTTTCCACTTGAGCTTTTTGTTTTTCTATGCATTTGCCTAGTAGTAAAATAAAATCTGTAGCTATGGTTTGTTTCTTTTTTTTTGGCCACGTAATTGTTAACACTTTATTTGGATGGTTCTTTTTGAACAGTCTGTTGACAATAAGTAACACTACACCTACATGTCAACCAACTCTCATCAGAGTATTAGTAACCTGTCTGCTTAATATCTGCTAACTCTTTATTGTGATGGTCTCCCAACAGACATACTGTCTATAAGTAACTTTGCAAAAATTGAAAAAATTCAACACTCAATAAATATGTAAAAGCAAATGGAAAATGACACATTCTACTGACAATTTTATAATTTCTAGAGGCATACATGTTATAAGTAAACTTCTTACTAACCACATAAAATATATCTATTACCATACCTCTTGCAGCACTTTCACTACACCCTCATCTGTGACATCTTTTAAAGTGGCGCTGAAAGAGGCCTGGCCTACAATGTAGTTTACCACATCTTTTGAAAGAAAATGGGGCCCTGGTCCTCCATGCACTATTGATACTGCAATCATTTTCCCTGCCAAGAAATACTCATCCTCCCTAACAACTGTCACAGAAAGTAAAGTGAAAGCACACATGACAGTTGCAGTTACAGATGAAACTTTACATTATTACGGGGCTCTGTGGAATACTTGATTCTGATTGGTTAATCACAGCATCTAGTGGTTTATTATTCCTCGATAACAACCGGTAGAAACTGTTTACAAAGGCTCATCCGGGTAACTATGCAATTTCATCTCAACTCAATATCTCTTCTGCCTTTTGTGGTAAAAAGCCATCTAATAAGTGCTATGACTGTAACGTATCCCTTAAATGTCTGTCTAGTTTGAACTTCTTAATGGAAACTTTGCATTCAGAAGCTAAGAAAATAATTAAGAAATAATTTGATTAATATTTTGCATCCAGTTATTTACTTATGTGGGAAGTAGCCACGTAATAAGTGGGATAATGTCCATCCAATCAGTTGTTATCGCATAATAAAGCCCCTTAGGCTGATACAAGAGCCATCCTCTTTACGTCAGGATCCTGATAAGCCTGTCGGGCCTTATTCTGACATGCGTTCGATCAATGGCAAGGGACAGATTTGAAATGATGTTAGGAGCTTTTAAACTACTCTGTTCCCTTACATTTTAATCAACGTAACCAGTATTTGTATACTTATAATCTCCAATCAACATACTTTTGTAGCTTGCTCTATGGGATGTGGGAGGTCAAGACAGTGTGCTGTCGTCATCACCAGATCATCATCCTCTTCCGCAATCACAGGCGCATACACTTCCATGTATTCTCAACAAATAAGAAGAGATCATCATCATGCACAAATGTAACAATCTGCAAATTTCATGATACAAGTACATACATAAAATATTTAATAAACCTGTAACACCGGTTCTGTGACGCAACATGGTCAGAAGTACCTGGATGGTCATCCTCCGAGTCTGGGAGCATGATCTTTAAAAATATATATAACAGGTTTCATCAACAGCTATAATTGTATATATAACATCTACAGTGTCACATTACACAAGGCATCAAACAACTGTTACTACTAACCGCTTCTACACTTCCTTCAGATGGGTCCACAATAAAATCACTAAACAGCACATAAACAACAAGTATTAAGATAGAAACAATAAACAGATGTAATCAATTGTTATACAGCCCTTTAGGTATTAGATTACAATTAAATAATATCCCTTCTCTTCTGCTTTTATAGTGAACATAAACAATGAAAAAATTAAAACATCTTACTGTTTGTTGGTAATGCTTTCTTGTGGCGTGCTTGTATGCTGAGGTGTTATTGGCTGAAAGAATTATAATAAACATTTACACATACACACACACAGGTTTGTTTTTGTGAAAAGTGGGGACTC